GATTGTGTCTCTCGAATTCCATTAATGCATCAATACCAAAAGTACCACACTTAGATAAATTCAACAATCACGATCCCTGGGCCCACGGCCTATGTCTGGAATGCTTGTCAACATTACATATTCTGCTCGGCACTAACGACCCACATCACAGGCCAACATGCTCCAAACCTCTTTTCCAATGCCTTGTGTGGACCTAAACAACGTCCCTTTCAACACTAACCATGCATAACAATGCCATAATTATACCACACCCACTTCCTTCACAAAACAAGATGCTCCCAATGCAAAACTCAATGGAATCATGGTCACACTCGATCCAAGAATAGGATAAACGGCTGTACCCTTGATCCAGTTTTGATGCTATCACCACCAAGTGAATAATTCGATCCAAGCCCCAATGTTATCTTGTCCAGACCACATACACATAATGAATTCCCATAATACCTATCCTGAAGAACCCATAACATCATCCAAAAAGGGTAGAAATACCAAGGTTCTACCTGACAACGAACCTCAATCTTCATAGAATACATCCTCATGATTGAGGCAAAACAGGTTCCACCAACATGCAATCAACTTGAGAAGGAACGACTCTGATTTCCACCCAACCCAAGACTACTATGAACCAAAATTCCACACTGCCAGAGAGAGTAAGCATAATCAGAGACCAAAGGAGCCTAAAACATACTAAACCTGGTGATAAGATGACGCATCTAGAGAACATCAACAATCATACCCAAAACCTTCAAGGACCCTTTGCTGAATGACAGACGATGCGACCAATGATTGCTAACACATGAAATTAAATCTAAATAACCAAAACCCTGGCGGGGCTGGACCCACCAAATTTCGAAACCGATTCATTGTTCGATCCCTATCCTAAAATAGACTATAATTAGAAATATTTACCCCAGCTGACAATTTTTCCCTCTGTCATCGATACTTGACCTGCATAATCCCAGTGGTTCTTATTTATTCATTGGCACCCCAATAGGAATCAATATCTTCACGAGCTCCTTGGTCACCCCCTTCTCGATGAGCACCAGCCCATGAGTCTCCCCACAACATACACTCTTTTCTTGCACTTCTAACCACAAAAATGATGCCCGTCCTGCTATAACCCAAAAAGACAGACCCTTAATAAAATTACAAGGCATCAAAAACACATCAACCTATTTGTAAATACTGCGCTGAGAAGCTTGCCCACTCCTTCTAAATCGGAAAACCGAAGGGAAAGATCCTTTCCACAAATAACGATAATCTAATCCGATAATCCGTCACTTAAATCCCAGATGCGATTTCCAAGCCGATCATATAAACTGCCTCCTCCCCGTGTCTCGAGGCCCAAGGAACAACTTCTAACAAAACCCTTAATATTTTTAATCAACATACTAATTTGGGTCTGAACCACTCAACCCACATCGACATCGACATAGGGGACTGAATAAACACAAAACCCATCCTCGTTTGAGCAACCCAAACCAAAAGATCGAACGTTACAGAACCACTGCCTCGAACCGTGGTATCCAACCATGTTATGTTCCTTGACCAGTCCTTTGAATCCCCAAAATATTCCTTGAATCGAGTATGGATCCTGTGCTTCCAGTAGTAAGTGCCCACTACTACCTTCCACACCTATCCATACTTTCCTCAAGAATCGTCTTGGGACCTCTAAGACCAAGTCACAGAATACCCCTGAAACTTGATCAACAACAAAATACTTGCACTAAAATACTCCCTAGGCTATCCTTGGGTTCCACACTTCTCTACCATCATTTGCGGAAGAACTCCTCACAATGTTAACTATCTATTCCATGAATACAATCACATGCAACAAAGCTCAGATAATCATTTGAGTAACAGGCTCATCCTAACAACGGTTGGACTTAGATGAGAGCTTCACAGTAAGGTCAAATCCGTCACTCTTAGATTATCCAACATTTTCCAAATGTGACTTGACATATTCACTTAATGGATAACTCACATCACTCATGAGTTCCACAAAGGAAAAAAGCAAGCAACATTCATACAGAGGAGCCGGTTGGAACTTAAACACAATAAAATAAGATAGATCCTCCTACGAAATCCTTAATCTCAAAATCCCAACACCACGGGTGCACCTCCACCCTGCTCTCACTCTTTAAAGAGTGGCTAATCATTACATACGCTGACTCGCTATGAACTACACCCACTAAAAGGAGACCACCGCCTCCTCATCCAATAATGCAACTGGCCGGTTGACCCCACACAACTCACCATATCACCAACTACCACACGACCCTCCATTGGTGCCAGATGACTATCGCATGAATGCAGTCACATGCCCCATAGTCTAAACAATCTTAGGCGAAAAGATTCAATCCTAAAATGGTTGGACTTAGATGATAGCTACGCAGCATGATCAAACCTCTTATCCTAAGATCATTCTAACATGTGACTTAGTGTATTCATTCAATAGCCAAGTTCACATGCGAAAGTGTCACACAACGGACAAACTGTGACATCCCCAAATTCGTGGTCATTTTAAAAAATTTAATTATGCTTAATTGAAAATCAAAGCATTCATTTTAAATAATAATATTGAAGAATTTGTTCCCAAAAAACATGATAAATGTATTTTCAAAGCATTTCCGAAGAAATGTATTTTATTTATATAAAAACTTTGGGATGTTATCGTCAATACATAAACATAAGCATAAATAGATCTTATATTAATTTACACTAGTGATTTACATCTCATTTAATCTCTCAGTGCAATGTAGCTTCATGTCGACACATGTGATAAAAATAAACTGAGTGGGTCAAGTTAGGAAACCCGGTGAGTACATATGGATTTCAGTCCCACATATATATATATATATATATATATATATATATATATATATATATATATATATATATATAACTCACAATATATACAACTTTCACCTTATATAAGCAATTTTACCCCACCTCGTCGATCCTCACGACGATACAATCTATACTCTTAGATTGTGTCTTATTAACCTCTTTGCCTAATCAGTACTCCCAGATCGGGTATGTCTAATGTATGCTCCTGGATCAATAACTATGCCCATTCCATACTCTCAGACTAGGGACAATTGACTGTGTCAAATCCATGCTCTCGGATCAATGACAAATGGCTATTCCCAATACATACTCTCGGACTAGAGACAAATGACTATGTCTAATCCATGCTCTCGGATTGATGACATATTTTAAAGTTCTACCCTCCGTGTATATCTCACCCACACTCATAAGAGGACACTACCCAGTATTCATCTTAATTAATTTAGGCTTACTCTGCACTCTAAATCATGATATATTATCAAAATCATCATATATTATCAAATATACTCTTAATACGTATTTCATGCAATATCAAATATTTCACACATAAACATATATTTAATACTTTAATTAATACTTGTATTAAAATCTTGTTCATGAAAGTGTGCACTCACTTGTTAAAGTAATGATTCCAAACTCGGACAACACTTCGCTTCTATCAATTATATTTTCCTTTGGTGAAACCTAGTATCATTACCGCTAGATTTTAGTCTAATATTTATAATGACTATTTATGAGCGATATTGTTTTATAAGTGTTAAACAATAGTTTTCAACCACTATCTACAGACAGAGACCAAACATGAAACACCAGAGGGAAGGACCATTTTGGCATTATAGCACTTCTGAAATCCAACAACCCTGTGTGACCCTTCAAACCAGATTCCCTATACCGCGAGTAATTAAAAGATATTATAATAACACTTTGTGTGTGTGTGTGTATATATATATATATATATATATATATATATTGTTTATTAACGATATTGAACTTAAATATAAGCTATACTTAAAGTAGGATAAACATAACTCATTTACTAGGAGGTTTGGCTAGGAATCGGACTCTGCAAGGACAGAACTTCTGAGCCAAAAGTTGTTCGTCTCGGAGCATTTCGGTGCTATGGATTTCGAATAACTACACCATATCACAAATGTGTATCGATTGATTTTTATTATTCAAATGGTGAAATACTCATGTAACTATTATTTAGATCAAAAACGATGAAAAAATATTAATCATGAAGTTTGATATTACTACAAAATAAGGTTATCATATATTTTAATTTTTGTGTATAACAATTTTTTTAGTCAAGAAAATAGCTAAATACCTATCAATTAATTACTTACTAACAATGAAAACCTCATAACTCTATTTCGTTGACAAATTTGACCTTAAAATTTTATATTCATTAAAAGTTTACTACTTGTAATCCTTTTTGTTTCCAGAGTAGAAAATATAATATTCATTAGAAACAATATACATATATAAATTAAATATAAACTTTTTTATTGAAAACTAATATGGTAGTATTTTTTTAATAAAACATATAAATCCGCACTTAGGTGCTACCAATTTGGTTCCTATACTTTCCCGAAATTACTTAATGCAGTACTCTAATTAGTCTTACCTAGATCCAGCAATTGTAAAATGAGCCAATCAAAAACCTTTTCTTGCATATCACACAGATCACAATCAGACGGCCAGCAATCCATTATACCTTATTCGATCCAACAGCCACAAAACAAATACCCCACCAACCTTTCTTACTAAACCCCTAAGGCTATCTGGAGTGGAAGCCTTTACACACGTGAAAAGCTGATGTGGAGGGGCCAAGACGCGCGAACACCATTTCCTAGCCCCGGTGGTTTGGTTGTGGCGTCTTGGTGAAGACGCATGAAGACGGATGATCTCATTGGCTAGCTTTGCTTCCCCTCACATTTTTTTCTTTTTCTCTCTTCTTCTTTTTGCCTCTCCACACCTTAACCACTAGTGAATACCATTTCCACAACCTAGTGAGTTGGTTGTGGAAAGGGTAAATAATGACATGGCATCTTCTCCACACTAGAATCACTCGTGACCACTCCATGTATCCTAATCAACAACATGTCTATCACAAACGAAAATCAAATTCATTTCCAAACACAAAAAAAATGTCAGGAAGAGGAAAGGGAGGCAAGGGATTGGGAAAGAGAGGAGCTAAACGGCATTGTAAGGTTCTCCGGGACAACATCCAAGGCATCACCAAGCCGGCGATACGCCTTCTGGCAAGAGGAGGAGGTGTTAAGCGTATCAGTGGATTAATCTACGAGGAAAACTGTGTAGTTTTGAAGTTCTTTCTTGAAAACATCATCTGCGATGCCATCACATACACCAAACATGCTCGCTGGAAAACTGATATGGCCATGGATGTGGTATATGCTTTGAAGCGCCAAGGTCGTACTCTATATGGATTTGGTGGTTAATAGAATTTAGGGCTATTGTTCTTGTTTGACACCGGATTTCAGTTTGAAGTGATTCTACTTGTAATTGAAGTTCTCAATACAATATCTGATAGTTGTCAATTTATGGTTTAAAATTTATCTTTCTCAAATGATATGTACACGGAATTTAGTTTTGTCCTTGAATTTGAGTAACATTTGAGGGCAAGTGCATCAGGAAAAGAGTGGAATCGTTTGATCATACTATTCAAGATTGATTTCAAATTAAGCAGTTCTTATGGTTCTAAAGGCAGCATGACTGAGGGGGTGTTTGGGATTGCATTTTTTAACAAGGCCTATTGACGTTAGTAATGTATTTGGATTAACTTTTGAGGTAGGAAAAGCCAAAAAGTGAAAAATTACCAAAAGTAATAAATTTATGACATTTAAAACCAATTATTTTTCTTCTTGCCAAAAATGATTTTAAAAAGGATTTTTAGATTTGTTGAACACATTTTCAAACTTTTAGGTTGCGTTTGGTTGTGGAAAATTGTTTTCATTTTCTAAAAAAATGTTTTCAGAAAATAAAATTTAGTTTTCATTTTCAATTTTCAATAAAAATATTAGAAAACGCGTTTGGTTGAAACCGGGGGAGTTTTCATTTTCTATCTTAGAAATTTGGAAAACTTTGGAAAACTTTAAAAATCATGTTTCTAATTTACATTCAATTTGGAAAACTGAAAATTTTTATTTTCTTGGAAAATTTTGAAAAAACTAAACGAACTAAACACGTTTTCAAATTTTCTGTTTTTCTTGGAAATTTTTCTTAGAAAACTGAAAAATTTTCTACAACAAAACGCATCCTTAGTTTCTTGAAAAACTCAACAATCCAAAAAGTCACTTTGAAAAAGAATCCCAAACACCCTTTCAGACTTGTTTCAATGATTTAGATATTGAATTGATAAAATGTCTATATACCGTTCATTGATTTAGATCGATCCATGCATTTTCCTTTTGATCTTTTGATGTAATCATTGCATATGAGGTATTCACTCAATAATTTTGAATGGAAAAGTGGTAACACAAATTCAAAAGGATTTAAAAAACTAACTTCATTCAAAATATATATTTTTAAGATTATTAATACATTTGATCATTTTTTTTAACACTTGAGGTCATTTATTGTTTAATTGTAACTGTCACAAGTAGTATTTTAGGCTAAGAAATTTTGTATTCATGTAATCAACTCCAGTGTAACTTGTAACCTAAGTTGAAGTTTTGTGCAAATGATCATTCCAAAAACAAAAATTTGAACCAAAAAATGACTCGTAAAGTTCAAAACCTAATTCAATACATCTCAAATACTCAACTATGGATTTAAAACCCTAATTTCCAACTTCAAACCCCAATTGGACTAGAAATGATTTATTGAGCCTAATGGGCCAATAAACTCACAACTTGGTTATTGGGATCTAATTGGACCACTTTCATGAAACTATAACTTTTTGGACCATGTTGGGCCTAAAAAATCTCATTTCACTTTTATAGGCCTTATTGGACCTCAAATGACCCACTTCATCCTCATGGGCCTCTATGGGCTGAAAACAACTCTCTTGAACATTTTTGGTCCGTAAACCCCATTCCTTCATCTACTTTGGGACGTAAACCCATAAGAAGGGCCTAATGGGCCAAAAACCTTCATATTGGGCCTATAATTTCAAGAATGTTCGAGATAAGCTCAAAACACTCTTTTCTTTCACTCTTTCCTCTCATTCTCGACACACACACACACACACACACATATATATATATATATATATATATATATATAAAGAAAAGAAAATTCCATGGATATAATTAATTGACACCTCATGTTTGTTTAATGTGTATCCATGCAATTATACAACATGTATCTAGGCTAATCTCATGTTCCAATGCAACATCTTGTCTCATCTCTCATCTATCTTCTCTTCTTCTCCCTTCTTATTCTCGGCCACCTTCATCCTATCCAAACGCTGCTCTCATTTCTAACCCTCACTCATAACTCTCAAGAAAAGTTCTCACAATCCCATCTCTTAAATATCGTGTGTACCTTGTGAAAGATCAAGAACTCTTCTTCAAAGATCATCACTCTTAGGTAAGCTAATCTCTAAGTATGATGATTAACTTCATTTTATGATAGGTTTCACTCCTTAACACATCATTTCGTGATCCATGCTCTTAGATCCATCTTAAGTTCGAAAGCACCACTCAAGAAGCTTGCTAGGGTTGAGATCCTTCTCATTCTTCAGCAAAAACCGAAATCATCAACCAATGTGAGTCTATACCCCCTATTTTCAGTTTTTACTATCTTTTGGGGGAGAATACAAGTTATTTTGTGTAGATCTATGAGTATATGCATGATTTTATGTGTTTTTCATGATATAAGTGTGATTATGTGTTATAAACTTCATAACATGCTAAGATATGATGATATTTGTAGAACATAACACTTATTGACTCTTATTATGCAAAGAAAAGGTTTAAAACATTCAAAGTTGTTTAAAACTAAGAAAATTACATTAGAGGACCAAAAATGATAAAATAATAAAAAATGAGGTTATTATATGTGACTCACTGTTTTAAGGGACCAAAAAGGATTTATTTTGATAAATATGAATCTTTATGGTATTTGTGACTTTAAAAGGGCTAAAAGTGTAAATTTTCATAAATGGACCTCCTTTTGGGCTTTCACGGTTTTGGGCTAAAATTGTAGAAATTTTGGACTTTTGCGGACTTAAGTGTCATTTTAAACAAAGTTGAGCCAAAAATGTAAATTTTTGGTTAAAAAGGGGCTGAAAATGTAATTTTATTTAAATACTGGTTCAAAAAGATAAATTATTCATAATTCGGCCGAAAATGTTAAATTTTCACAAATTTGAGGCCAAAAGTGTTATTTCTAAACCAAAGGGGGATAGAAATGTTATTTCCTTTAAAACAAGCCCAAAAATGTAAATTTTGGTATTAAAGGACCTAAAGTGTCATTTTTACCAAAAATGTGCCTTAATTGTAAATTTTCAGTTTAAGGATTAAAAATGTCTTTTTACAAAAAGTAAACTATCTTAGTAGGCGTTAGTTGTCCTCTTACATGTTTATTAGGCATGAAATATACCTTATATGCTTTTGGGGCCTGAAATAAAATTTACATGCTTAGTGGGCCTTAGTTGTCATCTTACATGTTTATTAGGCCCGGAATATACCTTACACGTTTAATTCGCGTAAATTCAGTTAAAGATGTTGTGACACACTTCGTTTGGCACCTATTGAGTATACAGTCGTAGCCTGTAGTTATAACTAGAGTCTCAAGGAGAGAGAGAAAGAGTTTGTGTATAGATCTATACAGGGTTGACACCCTACACTTGAGTTGTTCGCTACAGTTAGACTAGGCCAGTCTAGGGTGACAAACCTTACCTTAAACAAGTCAGCGACTGAAAGACGTCATGACAGGCGAAACTATCATTATCAGGTATGGTTATAATGACTCACTTAGAGGAATTAGCACCATCATAAAATTTACTGGAAACAATTTTTTGAGGATAACACGATAACATACACGCACTGGTACTCAACCATGGGTGTTGAGATCATAATGTTTTCATAAACAGACAACATCGGTCTGGGGTCATTCTCTTTATATTCTTACAAACATTAACACATTTGCATTAACACAAGATCAGACACAAACATTTCAAACCGTTTTTCGGAAAATATCGGGTTTTCTGGCAGTTACAAAGTAATACAAAACATTTTATTCTAACATGCTTATGAACTCACCAACATTATATATATTAAACTTATTAAATTAACTTGTATTATCAGGAAATCGTTGAGCAGGTTAGTCAACAAGAATACCAGGATATTTTGTTATGTTTTGTTTTCATCATACTTTGGATATTTTGGCATGTAATATTGAAATACAATACTTAATGTAAACAATGACAGTTGTAATATTACATGTGTGATGATGATGGTGTTTTGTTTCAATTATATATACTGTGATGATACTATGGGAATGAAGTCACTCAAGCCCCCAAACGTTTCCACCGTCTGGTTCGAGGGTGTGACTGTACGTGACTAAATTCTCAAAATAAACCAATGATTCAGTTAAGGATCTTGTGAGACACTTCGTTTGGCACCTTTCGAGTGTACAATCGTAGCCTGTAGTTATAACCAGAGTCTCATAAAGAGAGCGCGGGATTTTGTGCATAGATCTATACAGGGTTGACACCCTACACCTGAGCTGTTCGCTACAGTTAGACTAAGCTAGTCTAGGGTAACAAACCTTACCTTAAACAAGTCGGTGTCCGAAAGACATCATGACAAGCGAAAATGTCAGTATCAAGTATGGTTATAAAGACTGACTTAGAGGAATTAGCACCATCATAAAATTTACGGGAAACAATTTTTTGAGGATAACACGGTAACATACACGCTGTTACATCGTGAACTTTTAAAACAATTTTTCATTTTTAAAACAAACATAATTCATTCCAAAAACTCAAAGTGTCAAATGTCATCTCAAATAAACATATCCCAAAATCTCAAAATAAATAAAACTCCATCAATGTGTACAGATCATGCCAGCGCCTTCCCGCGATCCTTGTTGGTACCTGAAACACATATCACATAAACGGTAAGCATAAATTCTTAATGAATCCCCCAAATACCGCATACAACACATACGCCACTCAAGGCTACAACTCTACAAGACCTTCCGATAAATGTTTCTCAGGGGACTTCCGTCCCATAGACCTTCAGATCCCACTTCTCTGACCTTCCGGTCCATACATCTTGACCTTCCGTCCCATACACTGTTGACCTTCCGGTCCATATCATAGTACTCATAACATAACATAGCACATACATATCATATAACAACATGCATCACATACTCATCATAGCACATAAGACCTTCCAGTCACACATAATTACCACTCTAGGTAAAGTATAGTGAGAAGACTCACCGCGTACAATGTCGGATAACCTCACGTGCTCGATAATCCGAC